GACAGACAGACAGACAGACAGACAGACAGACAGACAGACAGACAGACAGACAGACAGACAGACAGACAGACAGACAGACAGACAGACAGACAGACAGACAGACAGACAGACAGACAGACAGACAGACAGACAGACAGACAGACAGACAGACAGACAGACAGACAGACATACAGAAATTCATTTTTTATATATATAGAGATCGTCCACACTTTGACCCTAACAAAAAGTAGTACTATGATAAAAACAGAGACCTAACTTTTTTTGACGATATAGAGACCATTTCCAGCGCAAAACGACAAAAATAACGTCACTTTTGTCCGGACCCTTTCAGACTTGAATGAAATTTTGCACACCCAAGATGACACTTCCATTAAAAAAATGTTAATTTTTCCGGACTAATTTTGTATAAGGGCTTATATAAAAATTGTTTCATTTTCCAAAATTAGAACGGTCTGTGTCTAGGGGCACGAACGGAAGCTTGACGTCAGATCGCTAGTGGACGGAATAAATGTGAGAACATTTAGTTATTTTAATTGATCGATCATCTATTTTCTTAACTCTTTCCGTTTTTGAATTGTAGGCGTACCAAATTTGTAGTAATTGTTTGCAAAGAGAAAGTTGATGAAGAGAATCGATAAAAATCACTTGCACCCCTGCTTCCAAGTTTGGTTATAAGATTACAACTATGGAGAGCATTTTGTCTTGTCGTTGGGGGCGTGTGGTTCTGAACATGGACAAACAGGCACAGATAAATTCTATTCCAACTGTACTACTTTAATAAGCTTGTTGGCCCTGAAAAGGGCCGTTTTGTTAGGTTAGGTTGTCTTTATTAGCGAGACCTTCAACCGGAAGCTGGTTCATCTCTTGCCGTTTGTTGCCAAAGTTGGTGATGATTTACCCTCCGAAACCGTACAGAGTGCTTCTGTCGCTTCAAAGCGTAGACGACATCCATGGCCGCTTAGGCTTGGCGTGTTCAGAGTAGGTGACAGCATCAAGGATCACATCTTCCAGGAACACCTTCAGCACACCTCGTGTTTTCTCGTAGATACGTTTGACACTGCCACGGCGAGCCAGACTACGTATGGCGGTTATCACGAAGAACCTTGCGATGACGCTTGCCGCCTCCTTTGCCAAGACCTGTCATTGTTGCTTGTTGGGTAGAAGAGTGAACTACCTAACCCGCAGCCACCTTCCTACTGCTGTTATTGATGCTTCTGCTGCCTGCTCACCACGCCGTCCAAAGCGGAAATGAGTCGAGGCTACCTACTTGAGCACAGGAACCTACCTAACTACTTGTACTAGGTTGCCAAATCACGAATGATCTGGTGGTTGGATCGCAGACAGGCGACTCTGAACCTTTCCAGCGTGGACGTCTTTCGCTAATCGACCACCGGCCAGGTGGTGAATCTCAGAATTACGAGTTCGCGGTGGACTGTTAAGGATCATTCTGAGGATTTTGTTGTGGATCCTCTGAAGCTTTAGGTGGTGGCACTTAGCACAACTCTCCCAGATTGGCATACCATACTCAATATCCGGCAGAACGATCTGCTTGTGGACAGCAAGCTTGTTTTTGAGGGACAGGGTGGATTTCCAGTTTATCAGAGGGTAAAGCGACCTGATGTTACACTTGGTGGATGTCTTGTCCACATGGGATCGAAATAGCAATTTGCTATCGATGGTGAGACCAAGGTAGACTACTCCACTCGACCATTCAATGGGAGTGCTATCATGATGGATCTTGACGTTAGCATGCGGAACAAGCCGAAGTGAATTCGAGTGTGGAAACAGAATGGTTTGTGTTTTAGCTGCATTGATACAAATCTTCCAGCTCTTGAAATAGTCGAACTGAACATCCAGGCCTGATTGTAGTTTATTCGCCAGAGCACGGATCACTCGACCCTTATAGATGATGGAGGTGTCATCTGCGAACATTCACAGGATACCACCACCCGGCAAGGGAGGAACGTCTGACGTGAAGATATTGAATAGGATAGGCCCAAGCAGGCTACCCTGAGGGGACCCCTGCATCAACGTTGACCGTATCAGAAGGGACATTGTTCAAGTAGACCTGGAATGATCTGCCCGATAACTAGTTTTTAATGATCTTCACGAGGTAGATCGGAAAGTTGTATCGATCCAGCTTGTAAACTAGGCCATCACGTCAGACATTGTCGAACGCCTTCTCGACGTCCAACAATGCCATGGCAGATGTATTGGAAACGGACTTGTTCCGCTTGATGATGTTAGTAACCTGTGCGAGTTGGTGGATGGTAGAGTTGCCTTTCCTAAGCCCGAATTCCTCTTTGAGAAAGATGTTATTATCATTTGAAAACACCAGCAGACGGCTGAGTATCAACTTTTCGAATAGCTTCGACATGAAGGACAAGAGGCTGATGGGGCGATAGCTTTTGGCACTGGTAGGATCTTTTCCAGGCTTGTGTATTGGAAACACTTTGGCCAACTTCCAGCATGCAGGTAAGTAGCCAAACTCCAAACATTTGTTGAAGATAACGGTAAGATGAATGAAGAAGTCAATACTCAAGTTTTTCAACTCGAAGTTGACTACACTATCCACACCCGGGGCCTTCATGTTCGTTAGTTCTGAGTTCCACCATCCTGGCCTGGATAATTTTGGTTAGCCTATTGACATTGGTCTTCAAATGGGGCAGCCCAGAACGCTGGAACTGCCTACGAATGGTGTTACGGAGCCTGATAAGATCTTTGTATGGGCAGTCAAGGTTCAGAGAATGACTCACCTGTCTGGATGCTGGTACCTGTTGCTCTCTGGCACGGGATATCGCCTTTTCGATGATTTGCAGACACCGATCGACTTCTTCGAACGACTCCGGTAGGACGTCGTAGTCCATTGCTGTGTCCACACAGCGCTGGTACTGCTGCCAGCTGACACGATGGTAATTTCGCCGAGAAACTTGAAACCTATTGGCCCACTTCGGCCACCACCGGATAGTGGTTCGAATTCAGTTCCTGATAGGCGATAGGTTGAGAGATGTTATCGCCAATGTTGCTGATGAAGATGTAGATGGTGGCATGAGCTCCGGATCGACTCAACCGGGTGGGAGTGTCCGGACAGAGGATGTTGTAGTGGGGTTCCTGCAGATCGTTGTGCAAGATTGTGCCGTTCTGGTTTCGCCGACTTTTGCCCCAGGCTTGATGCTTCGGAGGTCTGCGGCCGAGCCGTACCTAATATTGGTTTGCTTGGGCAGTAGACCGCGATGATGGTTATTGGACTCAGCGATGTGCTCACCTCAACTCCGATGGCTTCAATAATTTTCAACTGGAAGCTTGGTAGTTGCCGGCGCTGATGTTGCGTTTCGCAGCGATGGCCACTCCCCCTCCCCAGGAGATGGTGCGGTCAAGCCTTACGAGCCGAAAGTCGGGAAGGAAAACGTTCAGCTCGGGCTTCAAGTGAGTCTCGGTGATGACGGCTATGTCGATTACCGTTCGACAAACTGCATGTTTTTACTCTTCAAGGAGCAAGCATTCCAATTGAGCCCAAGACGCTCTAGCTCGGATTTCACCGCAACCGCCTTGAACGACGGTAATCCACACAAAACCACCTTCAGTGGCTTGCTCGATGGAAGATCATGCGAGAAGAAGTCCACGTTGTTGTCCTTCAGGAAACATCCTATTTGTTTGTACTCCTCCAGGCCTCCAGGCTGGTTCACATGATTTTGGTACCGATGCTGCAAAGCTTGAAGCGAGGCAGCAGGTTGTGTTTTGCCAGTTCGGCACCCAGCTTGGCAACATCCTTCACCGGCGTGAAAAACGGGGGAATCTGCTCTCTTCTTGCAATGGGAACGGCGTCACCATCGCCATTTTCTTCCGGGAGTACTGCATACTGATTGGCTTGCAGTACCTGTTTTCCGGCGTCATCCTGCGACGCGCTGGGCTTGATTAGCACCTTCTTTGAAGGCCCGCTGCTGTCTCATTGGCACGTTTACGTACTATTTGTTTCGTGTTTGCAAATTCAAGTAAACTTGTCAAAACGCGAGAAGGTGGCGACACTTCCACGGCGCAACGCGATAGCACAAAACGAAACAACTGAACAGCTCAACAGTCGAGCAACGAATCATCTCATGAGTTGAGGCTAGACAGCAGCGCTCTTTTATATCTTTTCAGGTTATAGCAGAATGATGTGCAACGAACCAAGTGGTACTCGATTATGACGACTGGGTTGGGGAGAACGTTGATTTCATAAAAACGGCGATGAAATTATCACTTTTTATTTGTACATTGGACAATGTTTGACATTGCCACTTTTTCCATAGTTTCTTGGGGGAAATTATCAGTCAGCTATTGATGCGTAGAAATATTTCTGATTGATTGGTGATAAAATTATTGAAGTTAGTCCAGGAGCAGCTGAGTTATTAACGTTCAAAATCTTTCATAATTTCGTAACATGTTACAATTTTGGTTTTCACAAAGTGTACCCCCATATAGAAATCACAGACGCAGTCCTACGTCAAAAAAAAAAAAACATAACTTGAAAACGTTATATTTGATGATTCCATGTCAAGAAGTTGTAGGTAATAGTATGGTCCATCCAGAAAAAAATGCACTGAGAGAAAAATCACTGTAAAATCATGTTTAATAGATAAATTGTAAATTTTCTCAAAAGACTTCCCTTCGATTTCTATATATATTTTTTTCTGTAAAGAAAGTTGAAGCTATGCCCTCAAATCTGGTACAAAATGTTAGATGGTGAAATGTTTAAAAGTTTTCTTCAAATTAGTTTTTGTTTTAACCAAATTTTTAAACATTCAAATTTAGTATTTTCAAACAAATCATCCGTTAGGGTGGAAAGAAGACCAGTGCAATAGTGATAGGGACAAAAATTAATGGCGACGGTTTCAATTCTGTGGAGCGCAAACGAACTGCCATCGAAGCGATAGCACACAATGCAAACAAACAAATTGATAAAGCAAAGAGCATCAAACCCTTTTACTGTGATTGATCATTGAGGTAAGAGAGCTACTCACTTTTCGGTTCTGGCGGTGGTGGACCGGCCTTCGGTGCGTGATGTCCCATGCATGGGCGGCCTATCCGACTGGCGGAAGGTCCTGCCGGCGTCGAGACCGCCGGTGCCGTTGAACTGGTGCTTGCCAAAGATGTGGTCGAAGAACTGAGCGACATCGACGGTGGCTTGATACCGGATGGTTTCGGTATCGAGCGTACCATCTTGGGCGCCTGTATGCCGCTGGATGCCGGTGGTTTCGATTCCGGACCACCGTTTGTGCTTGAGTCTCCATTCGATGGAGCAACACCACTTGATTCACTCATTTTTTTTTTCGCTACACAGAACACACGATTGATTTGACTCTTCTGACAAAAAATTTCAGCGCTCTGATTTTTTAATCACAAACTGAAATTTCGAAAATAAACACCAGCACTTAACACACACGGAACCCTCTGCTTTTATTCAAATGAAATAAAATGTCTTCTTTCTTCATCAAACACTACTCCACCGAGACTCGCAAACGATGCTGCCGCTATGTCGCGAATTTCTTCTTTCTTCACCGATAGACACTCTTGATTTGAAGACAACGGCTTATTCCCCATGTGCCATCTATAGGCCAGAGAGCGAAACCATAAACAAACGACGCAATTTTCTCGTGACCCGACAGAAAGTGATTACTTTTATTTCTGATAAAAGAAAGAAGCGATTTGCGTACGGCTTCCTGATGACGGTCGTTAGCTTTAAACTTCTGGTGTATTTAGGATATAGTGCAGCGGAACAACTTCGATGGATCCCACCCAAATACGCCACTGAAGAAAGGCGAAAACATCTGTCGGTTGGATCACTGACGCCAGCGATAATTGAGACGGAAAAGCATTTCGCTTTGAAACATTGACAGCATTTATTTACGTATTCATAATTCGGTAATTTTTAAATATAAATATTGAACTACTCACCTGCTTCCAGCTACTACGATCTACGGAATAATATTATTATTGTATTCAAAATACAATGTTATTGCATCAAATGCTAAAATCAATCAAGCAAGAAAATGTTCGTCATAACCCAACAGAGATACAGACAAGTGAAACGGTTAACCAACCGTGAAAAGCGTATATATTCATAGTCGGTGATTTCCCTATCGAATTTCTTGAATGAAGGAACACGCTCCCTTGGGAGCACAAACGCTCCCATTCAGAACGGAGTAATCAATTTGGCGACGATCATAAATCATTCAATTGGCATCTCAAGTCGTTAGCGTATATAACGGACCGAACAGAATGATGACATTATGATCCACTAGAAGAACACCGTCTCGCACGCAAGGTGCCATCTATTTTTGGGACATGACGTCGTCGCTTTCGTACAGCAAGTATATCTACGAAATCGGCATTTATAAATAAACATAATGACGACACCAAATCGAATCCCGGCGCCCGGCGCCCGGCGCCCTTGAGCCGCATAAGACTGCAACCGTATTTACAAACACTGCAATTATTTTTAGACGAACAATCCCCCACCCACCCAACCACCCCACAGATAACGGTCTTAGCGCGCGACTTCACATTGCGACTCCCTCATCCGCATCGCATCGCATCAGCCAGCAGACGAATTCCGGCTCACATCTCCCGTTCGTACCTCTTCCGATCCGGACGGAGAGAGACGATCAGCTTAATTGCTTTTCTAGGTTAAAATTATCAATTCATAACTGTTTATTGAATTCTACGTTGCATAATATGCTTCCTCCGGCAGATCAGTGACCACTGATGCTCGGCTTTTCACTATTTCCCTCACAGATCACGCGAATTCCGGCACACAAATTCACCAAAAAAACAAAATAACACTCCCGTAATCTTGCGGATCCAGCGAATCCGAATGCCACCTCTACGACGACGACGGCGACGGAATCGTAAACAAAGAGGCTTACCCACGGTTTCTTCTTAACTCGCACGCTGTAACGGACACCGTCACAATCCGTAACCGCACCGGAGACGTACGGAATATTCACGCAATTTTCACAAAAAGTACTGCTGTACTTGAAAATACAGAATCAGATTATTCTCACGCACGCAACGACCGAACGAAAAAAAAACGTTCAACGTAAACTTTTGAGCGAGCCATCAAGCAGAAAGGGAAACGTCAAAACGGCAGCTGATGTTTTGTTTGCAGGTGTCAGTCTTTTATCGCGGCTCGTCGAGGAGAGAGACCAAAATGAAAACAAACTCAGGTTTCAGCATGGGTGGCGCGCATTAAGTGGGGGTAGGAAGAATTTATATTACACTGAACATAAATCAGATGTAATCTCAAAAATGTTCGAGAAAAACCATACTCACCAAAAATTGATTTCGTGTTCCAGCAAAATAGATTACTGGAAATGATTCAGCAATTTATTATTTGCTGAAAAAACAGCAACGCATTTTGATGGTTGCTGGAAGCCTCCCGAAAAAAAAAATTACAGTGAAATTTTCAGTGGAAACAATGCTCTGACATTAATATTTATTGTCGACAATAAAAATGATTGTTATAATGTTGTACCCTTCCGAAAACGGCAAAACTGCTACCAATGAATGTACATAATAAAATGTTGTTACAATAATTTTTATTGTATTTTTCATTTATGTTATTGTTAACATGATTCGATCACGAACAATAATGAACAACTCTATTACAATAAAAATTGTTGTATTACAATAAAAATTGTTGTCAGTGTTCACTCGGCTGTCGACAAAACCAGACCACTCTCGATGTGTGCTACGCGATCGTCTGTTTTCTCGGCAGCAACCATTGTGTGGTCCTCCTCATTGTTCTTCATCAGCAGTTCTTTCGGTCGATGCGTCGTCGACTTTGGAAAGCAACCGTTTCGTGATGAGTGTGTGAGTGCTGACCACGTTTTGCGTCCATTGCTGCAATGGACGCGCTCTGACCCTCGTTGGCGTACAACAATTTGCCATACAATGAAACTACTGGAAGCGGCTCCAGTTCTGATGGAGGAGGCTTTTTGGATAGCGGAAGATAAAGTGTTTATTGTGTTGTACCTTTTGACTATATTTTTAAGATGTATTGTATAGTGACCAAGAATCCTCGGCTCTGTAAAGTTAATTCGGTTGAGCCTTACCAAATAAATTAATAAACAAAAAAAAAAAAAAAATTGTTGTTACATTAAATATTGGTGTGTTTTCATTGTGGGTTACTTCACGAACTATAAAAATAAATCTGATTGAAGCATGCAGACTATGAGAGGGTCAGCAACACTGCCAATGTAATCAAGATAGGCGCTGCTCGTATGGCTCTTGCTTTGACAGTTCGTTTGGCTCTATTCGTTGCCTAGTCAATTGAACGCCTACGACCAGATCGGTTTGAGTTGAACTCAACTCTCCTGCCTCATCTAAATCCCGCTTAATGCAGACCTTTTCCGTGCAGTCAATAATCATACAATAATAATAAAAAATCCACCACTTGAAGATGTCAGGAAATAACTCTCAGGTGGAAGCATATTTCATGGGCGATTCTCTCCAGTTGAATGCATTAACTTATCAACGACGCTCAACCACCAAGGAGACGTGACCTAGAGAGATCGAGTGCAGGGGTTGGCTTCCATTTCTCACAAGTTCCGGATCGAATCTCAATCCATAACCATTAAAAAAAGGACTCACCCGTAACATACATACCACCCCCTTCCCTTCCCGGGGCGATGTTTTATTTTTTCGATTTATAGTACGTTCAGACTACAGAGTTATAACATGTTATAGCGCTATCTTGATGTTGGTTTCTGTGTTGCAATTATTTGACAACCGTTATAACATGTTATAACTCTCCAGTCTGTACAGCGTTTAAGATGCAGGAACAAACAGCGTTTTAAAGTCGATAAAGTAGATCTGTCAAGCCAACACATACACTCTAAAGTACACTGTTATTTTTTTTAATCAATAAATTCGCCAACCAACAGTAAAATAACAATAATATATAATGTTATTGAAAAAAATTATATGGGGAAATCACGAAAATTTCATTTTAACCCTAATAAACGGGTACCATACTCTAACGATATCATAGATGGTACGACTATCCCACATAAAGTTGGGATGATATCCCGAATTGGTGGTTAGGCGCTTCTTATGGTTATTGTTTATGCGGGAAGATACTTAACAACCCCCCTTTTTTATTGTAAATTTTCCATTTACCATGAAATTTACTGTTTTGTACAACATAAATCAAGGTTAATTTATTGTAGACGTAACAATATAAATCATTGTTAAGACAATAATTTTCGTCTTATTGTTACATTGTTTTTAATTGTATTTTTGTTGTTATTTTTTTTCGGGCTAGAACCCGCATAGACAATAACCGTAAGAAGCGCCTAACCCAAGGGGTACCCTAATAAAAAGATACCATAAACTAACGATAACCCAAACGATAGAACTATTTCACAAATCACTCTGCACACCTTAATCTGTACAAACCTTGGTACAAACCCATTTTTTAGTGCTGGAATCCAGCAATATTTTGATGGATTTTGCTGAGCTGGAATATCAGCAATCCATCCAGCAAAATACTGTTTGCTAGACGACCAGCAATTTGGCCCAAAGTCAAACTGACAGCACTTTGTTGTAAAACCAGCAATGTATACTGATTATCCAGCATAGCGTAATGCAGCATGTTTAAAATTGTTTATTACATTCTTGATAGAATTTTTACTGAAAAACACTTTATTGTACTGGTTTACTGAATTATAATCGTACCAAACTTTATTTTTCCATATGAAGAGACAATTTTTGAACAAACGATAACAAAACACTGGGCTTATTTTGAACACATTCCATTGGCCATCCCTAATAAAAAAAAATACCATAAGCGAACGATAACCAAAATGATCGAACTATTCCAAAAATGGTTTGGATGATACCCCGAACACGTCGTTAAGCAAATTAACCATAACATTTTTATTAGGGATTCTATAGTTTTATTCAGCAGAAAAGGCTATGAATAAAGCAGAAATACCCTTTTAAATTTAGTCAACTAAAAGTTAAAAATACATGATTAAAATACCATTCATGTAATTAATCATGTTTTGTTGTTTTTGACATCATCCATATCCAGAGGGCCAGTCACTTCTCATGTATGGGAATGATAGGAAACCATTTGGAAATGCATGAAAATTTTCAGTTTTTATTCATTATCGTCTTTATGGGTAGTTTTAGATGCACAAAAATTGCACGAGTACATTTCTATGGTGATAAGGTAAACACTCGTTTTTTTGTTTACTTCTGTGAAAGCATATTTAGTCACAAATCGTGGATTTTCTGATATTCTCCATACTGCAAAAATGAGTTTCCTACTACTGAAGGGGCGAAATCTCTCGGATCTTCAGTAGGAGCTTCAGTATAGCTACTACTCAAATCATATAATTAATTAATGGTATGATTCAAAAGTTGTACACTTCTTGACTCGAAATATAAAAAAAAACTGCCCCGATGCCGGTCGACTTTGACATTTCAAACAGATTACTGTAAAATTCAGCTTTTTTTATGGATTGCTGGTTGTTCAGCAAGAAATGTTTTTGCTGGAAGCAGTTCAGCATTAATTTTGCTGAAACTCGATTCAGATTTTTGGTGTGTACCAAGAGTTTTGGCAGTGCCGAAAGCTGTGCAGAGCATTGTGCCGATCATTCCAAAGTAGGCCGAAGCGTGTCAATCAAGGTGTCAATATCCCATGAGTTTGGCAACCCTGAAGTTAAACTTTTGTGATTGTGTTTACATTTTCAGTTTATCTAATTCATGATCATGGTTCATGGCAAATATTAAGCTTCACGCTCATTGGAATGAGAGCGGATTGCCCGAATAAAAAAAATACCATTCAAAAACAATAGAACCTATTGTTACAATACAACAAAACCTTTTGTAGCAACAATAAATGTTATTGTCAAAAACAATAAAAATGCACTAGAACTTATTGTTATGTACAATATAATCTATTGTTAATGGGACATTTACAATAGAAAAGGGGGATTGTTAGTTTTCTGATCGACTCAAAACTACGCAACCTCGAAGACATCATTCTAATAAACAAATACCATAAACGAACTGTTTCCCGGATAGGTAAACTATCCCACAAATGGTTTGGATGATACCCCGAACACGTCGTTAAGCTCTCTTTTATGGTTATTTTTATTAGGGAAGCCTATCGTATCACAGATTGTGATGTCTCATACCATCACCCAATTACACACGTCTAAGCCTATCAAACTCACGATCCTTTGCAGATGTGATACCTACCACAAAGTACCACCAATCAAACCCAATGGCCAATACAACCAGTGAAAACCATCTAATGTGGGGGGCAAAACAAACATAGCGTAGTGCTTTAGTGCACACCATTTCCGAGGCATGACAGATATGAAGTGGGGGGGACTTCATATCTGTCATGCCTCGGAAATGGTGTGCACTAAAGCACTACACTATGTTTGTTTTGATTTGCTATAAAAGTTTGAAAGATAAAATGAGGGGTTCGTGGATTTTCCTATGTTTAGAGGGGTGCATCGGACCGAAGATAGTACAAACAATCAATACGAAACTAGCGATTTTAAATTGGCTCACTACTTGACTAGCCTATTGGTCCCAAGCAAACGATTAACGTATCCCATTCTAGTCGAAATTCTAGTACTACGAAATGTTTGTTTTGATTCGCCATGAAAGTTTGACAGATAAAATGAGGGGTTATTGGTTTTTCCTACGTTTCTAGGGGTGAATCGATTAGCTTGGGACCGAAGAGAGTACCAGAGCTGAGCCAAAAAGTTGAGCACGTTATTTCTGGAGCTTCTAGTCTTAGAGTTACCTCTATGATAGTACCAACAATCAATATGAAACTAACAATTTTAAATTGGCTCACTACTTGACTAGCCTATTGGTCCCAAGCAAATCGATTAACGTACCCCATTCTAGTCGAAATTCCAGTACTACACAATGTTTGTTTTGATTAGCTATGAAAGTTTGACAGATAAAATGAGGGGTTAGTGGATTTTCCTATGTTTTCGAGGGGTGAATCGATTAGCTTGGGACCGAAGATAGTACCAGAGCTGAGCCAAAAAGTGGAGCACGTTTCTTCGGGACCTACTAGTATTAGAGTTACCTCTATGGTACGACGGTTTTTCTTTCAAAACAACAAAATAACAAGCGAATGTAAACATTATTGCAGCGGTGCCAGAATTGATTAAAAAAATTGCCTATCATGCGGCGGAAGGGTGTTTGAAGTGTGTTTCTGTGGGTGCTAGCATAATGTGAGTGAATTACCCCCTGAGTGACACATTTCGCTGAGGTAAAGCTGGGAGTCATTGATGAAAAAGACTATGATTGGTGTTTACACTCCATGTTTAGTGTTCAAGATGGCGACGAATGAAAAACACGTGCGCGAGCGGATTTTGTAAATCCTGACTTGTCAATACGGGAACTTGCAAAAAAATAGATTTACCGAAATCCACTGTTCACGGTGTGCTCATATCATTTTCGGAACGTTTGACGGTCGAGAGGAAACCGCGAAGTGATAAAAACATTGGACGTGTTGATCCTGTCATCGACCGAAAGGTGAAGAGGATATTGAAGGAAAACCCGAACCTCTCTCGAACGGTGGCTTGTCCAAAAACAAAACAACGTTTGGGGCTGAAGTCATATAAAGTAAAAACAGTTCCAAATCCCAACGACAAACAGAATTTGACAGCAAAATGACGGACTCGACGTTTGTACCACAAACGAAGTGACAAACGACTAACTGGCGAAGAAATCGATTAAAATAATGTGGTTCGCAGTAATAGAATTTTCTTAGAAGCTTGTGCCATCATCCACCAGATGGGATAGTATTTTTGTTTTGGTTTTGCTCAAAGTTGATTTTGTGTACAATGATTCTTTGACAGTGTGCAAAGAGTGTATCATTTTGTCATTTTTTTATGCATTTCAGTTTTGAGTAGAGTGAAAGAGATAGAACCAAAACATTCTAGTACATTTGGTGAAATTGCTAGTTCAATCCAGTTGTAGCAACAATCAATACGAAACTAACGATTTTAAATTGGCTCACTACTTGACCAGCCTATTGGTCCCAAGCAAACGATTAACGTACCCCATTCTAGTCGAAATTCTAGTACTACGCAATGTTTGTTTTGATTCGCTATGAAAGTTTGACAGATAAAATGAGGGGTTATTGGTTTTTCCTATGTTTCGAGGGGTGAATCGATTAGCTTGGGACCGAAGAGAGTACCAGAGCTGAGCCAAAAAGTTGAGCACGTTATTTCGGGACCTTCTAGTCTTAGAGTTATCTCTATGGTTATATTACACAACCGATGGCTTGACCTGGTTGCAGCAGCACTAGAGATGAACTAGCCTAAGGCTAAAAATCTCTTAAATAAAGAAAAAAAACAAAAAAGGTTGCAGCAGTTTTGATGTAATATTCAACAACTTTTTTTTCTGTGTAGTCAAGTAGTGAGCCAATTTAAAATCGTTAGTTTCCACCGGTTGTTTGTACTCAGAATATTTATTTTGACGAAGGAAATCAAGTGAATATTGTACCAAAAACTGCAAATCCGCCAACTTGTCCAGTGTTACGTCCAATCGAGAGATATTGGGCTCTGATGATGGGGTTAAGCACAAAATTCGAAAATTTTATGCAAATACCGAATAACAATGTTTTGACTTCGTGAATTTTTAAATCATATCCCATGAATCTGAAATAAACAACTACAATTGAAATATAATGTGAAATCTGTGTTTTACTTAAGTTTTGGTGAGTCCGTATTTTGGATACAGACATTAGACATTAAGGCCCAGTTAATGTTTGAGGTATAGCAGGTGTGTATAAAATAAACTGTAATCATTGTAACCAAGAATATTTAGGACAAACCAAGAGAACTTTGGCAACTAGGTTTAAAGAACATCCTAGCGGAGGTTAACAAGGCCAACAAGCAAGAGGAAAAAGGCCTAACATATGTTTTCAAATCAAAGGTTGCAGAACACATCTACACCGAGGACCACCAACTATCGACGGAGGACAACAAGATTTTACGAACCGTATCTACACCATGGAAATTGGATGTTGTAGAGAGCCTCGAGATCAACAAACAACATGGATCAAGGAAACGGACACACATGGCTTTCCAAGTTACTACCTAGGACACATCAACGAGTAAGCAGTGGAGAACCTGCTTCTACAGGATATTGGATTTAAGCTTACCTAGCTTCTAAGTGAAAATGTAGCTATGTTAATATATATTCAGTAAGTTGCGATGTACAATGTTGTGTATTAGTACAAAACATTGAAGAAGTCTGCACATTGTAAACGAAATACGCCTATCTGTCAAGGATAAACAAATAAGGTAGTGGAATTAAATGGAAATTACTAAATCTTCTCTCTTTCTCTTTACAGGTATTCCACTAAGACGTGTTCATCAGGATACACAGAGAAATTGAATTGCATGAGACTAGCGAGATCAGTAATACTTTTAAGAAAGCATTTTAAAAGATATTCTCTGATTTTCCAGGACTAAAATGGATTTCCCTGCAATTCCCTGATGTTCCTGTTTTTTGCTCAGGTAGTCGACACCCTGTAGATTGTGGGACAAGATGGCGTTTCGTTTCTAAGGTGATTTTGATGGTATTTTCGTGTGTTCCTAAGGTGTTCTGTGGGATTGTTAGACTGTTGCCCCTATACTAGGATTGTTTATAAAGTGGGTTGATGTCCATAGACCAGGGTGACCGTCTTGTCCCACTTTCCCTTATGTATGTAGCATAAGGGAAAGATAGTATAGGAAACTTCGAGGGTAGCACCAACTACAAAAAAAAAATTGGCGACCAACGAGCCATTCGTCCAATAGTCAACGGTCCCCGTAATGCAGTAAACTAGAGCGCGTTACTTCTTATTCATACGACCCATACTTACTGTTGGCACCCAATCGCTGGTATGGGATATTCAAGTCTGAACTTTTCTTTCGAATAAACAACATCATTTGTTGAATTTTGATTCAAGCATTTTTGTATTCGCAATACAGAAATGGATTATGTTGTATTACACAAGTCTGAACCTGTTAGCCTCATGGCTTCAGAGACATTGGCAAACAAAACGAAAGAAGAAAAAAAAACCTCGCTGCCTACATGAAAGGGGAGAAAAACCTCTTCTAACTAACAAGAACAAAACAGTAGGTACATTTGTTTCATATTCATTACATAGATCTACAGTGAATGATTCTCTAAATCGGATTCGGGTTGCAAACTAAATAATATCTCTCGCCTAGGATGAACGAGGGTGGTTTTCCTGTGTTCTTAAAACTTAACGGGAGTTTTCATATGCTACTAATAAAAACGATGAGACAAACACGGTTTGTTATTTTGCTGATACACACGCTATCAATCTAAGTAAATATAATTATTATTCAGCATGAGTTGAATGACGGAAATTGTATATATTAAAATTTTCTCGATCCGTATCTCTCTCATTTTAGTAAGTGTCATTTCTCGTCTTAAATCCGTGCCTCCTTTTTTCTGTATTATTGTTCTCACTCTTTAGCAATATCTCATCCGTTACCTATGTTGTTTCGATCGATGTGCTTCCTTATTTAATACATGTTGCTTTTACTTTCCAGTATGTTGGCTAAAACGTGGCCTTACTCGAAAATCAACGACCCTGAGGCATAACTAACGCTGGAGTCCTTCTTATCACAGCACTGATTGCTTTGGTCGTACTTGAGAAATTTGAAACTCATCCGGTAGCCACGTCTCTTCAGCTCATCTACCGACTGCAGAACAGAAGAACAAATCAATCCGGGGTGAACCAATAGAAATGCAGTGAATACTAACCTGGAGCAGCACACCGATCGGATGCCGGCCGCAGACCGTGTTGTTGTACTTTCGCAGGTACTCGCTGAAGCTCTCCGGTTTCAGCGTTTCGATCAGGTCCATACCCATCTTGTCCAGTACCTCGATCCACTTGTAGATGGGACCGTGCGATTCCTCGTAGTACGTGTACCGGAAGCGGGCACCCCAATGGCAAAAATCGGACGAGATAACGAAGAGATTCTGCGGATCGGCCAAGTACGGCGCCAGAATTTTGCCGTACGTTTCCTCCCACTCACTGCTGATCGAGCCGACCATGATTGGCACGATTGTGAACTGGTCACGGAAGCTGCGGATTGTAGATAGGGTTGTTTTCGTGATTTCTTGGCGGTTCTGGTCATGGGAAGCGTTCGGCATGAGATGATTGTTTGCATACCCTGTCGGGTTCGATTCCCGATCCGGTCGAGCAAATTTCCGGGTTGGAAGTTTTCTCGCTATCCCTGGACATAGAGCATCAATGTGCTTGCCACACAATATGCGAATGCAAAAATGGTACAGACTTAGAAAGCTCTTAATTAACAACTGTGAAAGTGTTCCAAGAAGTTTAAGTTGAGGACAGGCGTACAGTTCCAGTTGGGACGTAACAGCCAAGAAGAAGAAGACAGTGTCAACGACGGCAGAGAAGCTCAAGGAATGCATCTGTCGATTCGGGTGTTCACTAACAACTGAAAGGTTTGCCGAAGCATTGTGGACTTTTCGAACGTTTACAGCTGGAGATGCATCATGCTGAAATCCACATTCGAAACGAGCGGTACTGGGCGAGAGAAACAATAATTGAAATTGAAAGAAAATGTAGCGAAAGGAAGAACTACGTCGAGGTTTAGATCAGATTACGCAATAATCAGTTGCGAAGACGTATGTATGACGACCGACGACCGGATACAACTGAACGATCATTGCTTTCGGAAGTACTGTTTAGTAGAATTCAACGTTGTTTGTGCTGAGAAATCCGGAGGACATGTTACAGGTACAGTACTATAAAATATACTTAAGGGGCTGTCCACAAACCACGCCTACTGGATTATATCTGCTATGCTTCATATACTGATTTAGGGGTGTTTAAAGACGATAACTTCATTGAAATATGTTATCAAGTAAGTTTGTCTGGAATGTAAATATGACGAAAGTTGTCACTGTATAACCAATGAATGATGCAAATTGTATGAGTACAAGTTTTCAACGACGTCTTTATATAAATCTACACTTCAATCCAGGTAAGTGTAGCTGTTGATCGACAAAATCAGAGCCTTTTCTACGGTTAATCGACTTTAGGTTATTTTGATTTGTTGGGAAACATTAGAAGATTTTCCTTTATTATCGAGACGACTTTTAGCCAAGGGCTGGTTTGTCTCCGAATTAGAAGATACTGAGAAGTTCAGCACATATGATCGGCAGGACACGTGTGTGTGAGAAAACGTACAAAACATCTGCGGAAACCGGTGGGATCCCAAGATAAGATTTTCAATTCAATTGATTTCATCTTAACAGTGTTGGAAAGTTCATTTTCAAAGAAAGTTCTTTCACAGTTCTCATTTCGCTGAAGAACTAGCTATGGGAAAATCGCGAACGAAATGAGAACAAAAGTTTCCGAACGAGCTGTGCGAAACAGTTAAGCAAACGATTCCGAAAGAGAATTCCGATTTCGCTCTCTCAATCTATTTCACAGAAAATTGAGAATCCAGCTAGCTAAGGTTCTTGTCTCCAATGTCATGTTTCGTCGCGGAGTAGAATGAAATTATCTCGCTTAATTTCTGCCACTCTGCTGATGTTTTCTTTTTCTAGATTAGGTAGTTCAGCAACGGTATCCAGGTGTCATCAGGAGGAAGCAGTCGCCTATACCAGGCCATCGGTCACTCACCGTTGACCACTACCACCTGTCGTCATCTTTGGCTACCTATCCAAGGGCGAGCCGGTGATGCTGGTTACTTTCCCGTCGATGATAAGTCAGTGCATGACACACGACGGGTATCATCCACCGTTCGACCGCGCGCGTCGGGATGAAAAGATCGCATTTTTTTTATTTGTTTGTGTCGTTATTAGATTAAGAGTAAAATAAATTTAGGTCTAAACAGTATTGTTTGATTGCAATAAACTGTTGTTGTTCTTTGTGTAATTTTCGTGTGTGATTGCAAATCCGAGAAATTGCATGCTAAGCTTGAACTCGGGTTGAACCCAACCCACCTCACCAAATCGGAGTTTATTGGCACGGCTGGAGCTGAAGTAGAGCAGCAAAGAACACTTTGTAAGTTGCATCCAGATTTTACTGGTCCTTCGAGCCGGATTTGGGCGGCAATAGGGATCCGCCCGGCCAATACGAGATAACTAAGGTGAGTGCGGTTTCAATAACTTACATTCTGTAAATTGGTCTACGAGATCGGTATTTTGTGTACATGTTCTGGAAGTTTTTACTGTGGTCACCGAGTTGCTTCGGAAAGGACCGCTGAGAGCCAACTACGGCCTCGAGGTCGCACTCAAATTTGCCATTGGATTGGTCGATAGTCCCGGGATCAGTTCACCTCTTCGAGACCGGTCGATTATCAACAGAAGCAGCCATCGCACATAAACATTCATCCCACCGAACGACTGGAATTCCGCCAACTCGATTTGCAACATTCAACCCGAGAGAGGAAGCGATTTGGATTAAAAATACAAGGCAAATTCTGCCTGTGACCAGGTGATTAAGATTCCAATCCTTTTATGCAATTTAGCGCGGTCTACGCGGTGTTTTGTTCGTAGATCCTGCCATCGCTCATCGGTATGTCGGCAGCTAGCGGAAGCTGCGTGGTCGAAAGAACCGCAAACGCAGTATCTTCATGTCGTTTGCTTCGATTAAGGCATTCGTATCCAGCTACCAAGCGGACAAGGACAAGTGCGAGATGTCTGTTCGTTTGGAAAACGTAATCGCGCTGTGGACGGAATTCAATGCTGTTCAGGCGGAGTTGGAGACGCTGGAAGAAGCCGATGAAGTCTTGGAGGCATACTTGAAGGAGCGCACGGAATTCGAACGAGCCTATTATCGAGTAAAAGGTACGCTACTTTTGTTAAACCAGAATGAAGCCCAACCTACTACTGCCCGACCCATTGATAACACGAGCAATGTATCCCACCTTAATTACTATTTACGCTCCTCTTTGGTTGGCGAAGCACTTAAACTAATTCAAACGATTCCGATTAGCAACGAACAGTACTCCGTTGCATGGAATTTGCTGCTGAGTCACTACCAAAACCCTCGGCGTTTGAAACGGACGTACGTGCAGTCCTTGTTTGAATTTCCCTGCATTAAGCGTGAAACGGCAGTGGAATTACATTCGTTGATCGACAAATTCCAAACTAATGTTAAGATCCTCAAACAACTGCGGGGAAAATTCCGAGCATACATCTGCTCAGTAGGTACGCGATTGGATTCAGTAACGAGGCGTGATTGGGAAGAATACGCGGAGGCAAACGATGCAGCGAAATTCCAGCAATTAGTCGAGTTTCTTCAACATCGAGTCAACGTGCTGGAGACGGTTGCCAACAAGCCTTCGGAAACTCCAGCTAACATCAAGAAGCCCAACCCTCCACGTTCAGGAAATCACGGTGATATACAGCAGGGGTCGTGCAAATGTCCAGCGTGTTCAAGTCAACACGTCCGAATGTGCAAATATGGCTGTTGACGAGAAAAAACAAGTATTTCGAATCAATCAACTCTGCCGAAACTGTCTGCCTCGGGGTCACATGGCGAAGGAATGTTCATTGGAGAGCAGCTGCCGCAAGTACCGAGGACTAGTGCTTCCGGCCAGGCGGGCAGTAGTAGCGGACCGGTGTCAGCCACGCCAGCAGCGCATACTGGCATTTCGAGTTGTACAACGCAAGACGAATCCAGGAGCAGGGTACTATTAGCCACAGCGATCATCATCATAGTGGACGATAGTGGCAACGAGCATCCAGTGCGAGCTTTGTTGGATTCAGGCAGCGAATGCTGCTTTGCATCAGAACGAGTGAGGTTCGGCGACATAAGGTGAATCTTCCGATCGCAGGGATTGGTCAAGCGTCTAACGAAGTCTGCTGCATGTTCCGCTCGATAGTGAAGTCTCGGATATACAAGTTTTCCACCACCATCGACGCCTTCATTCTTCCCAAGGTCACCGTAGATCTGCCTTCAATCTCCTTCGACACGTCGAGTTGGCGAATCTCTTCCGTGTCTGGTTAATTCGGTTTTCGGTTGAATTATCAGTGGCAAAACTCCTGAACAACATTCAAGATCTTCCGTAGTCCGCAACGTCGCTGCGAGGATGGACGGTACATAGTACGAGTACCGTTCAAGGAAGCTGTTCTGGACAAATTAGGAGCCTATAAACGTACTGCACTCCACCGTTTTCGCCTGATCGAGGGTCGTTCGGGCGCGATCCAAAATTAGCCGCCGAATATCGTAAATTCATGGACGAGTACGAAGAGTTGGTACACATGGAGCGAACTGACGAATCAGATGCAGCGTCAGGGCCTGCATACTTCCTTCCAAATCATCCAGTCATTCGCGAGGAGAGCAGTACAACCAAAATGCGTATCATCTTCGATGCTTCTTGCAAGAGCTCCACCGGAATTTCCCTGAACAACGCTATGGGTCTAATTGTTCAAGAAGATTTGCGGTCCATAACGATGCGATCTCGCCTGCATCCTATCATGATGATTGCTGACGTCGCCAAAATGTACCGGCAAATGGTTTTGTTTCCCAGAGACTGCCGATTTCATCTGATATTCTGGCGTCCTTCACTATAAGATCCGATCCGCATCTACAAATTGAAAACCGTACCGAGTAGTGAAGAAGAAGGCAACCTGTGAGGATTTTTATGTCGACGATTTCTTTCCGGGCGCACAGACTGTCGCCGAAGCAATCGAACTACGGGAGCGAATGGATGCCATGTTCAACTCAGCTGGAATGCAGCTACGAAAGTGGGCGAGCAATTACCCTGCAGTTTTAGAAGGAATTCCGGAAAACAAACGTGCCTTGCAGTCTTCGATGGATTTCGACAAGGATCAGGCCATCAAGACACTGGGTCTACACTGGGAACCCTGTTCTGACAAGTTGAAATACGTCGTTCCTGAAGCGAAAACCAAGTCCTCACCAGTCGTCACGAAACGAAGCGCACTTTCCTGCATCGCCAAACTGTTTGACCCACTTGGTTTGGTGGGTCCGGTCGTAGTCATCGCGAAGAACTTCATGCAAGCATTGTGGGGATTGAAAGATTACAGCGGAAAGCAGTACGAGTGGAACAAGGAACTACCGGAGCAGATGAAGAAACGCTGGGT